CATGACCCACACATGCAAAAATATACCTACTTAGGAATCCTTCAGCCACCTGTTCTTACTAAAATTAAGAAAGCTATTTGGAAATGAGGCCAGGTAGACAGAGCCCGGCTCTTCCGCTCAGGGAGGGAGCCACTCAAGCCTTCGGTTGTTCCATCTTGGCTGCTTGGTCTCCAAGTCTTCCTGGGAAGACCACACGCCATAGCCACCACAGATCTGGTGACGGGTAAGCAGGGACTCAACATCCATGGTTCACAGGCACCATCCCTCCAAATAGCGCCAGAGGCAGTGCACACTGCCTGCCAGCTGCACGGGGCCATTCTCTGTCACTTCCCACCCCTCATTTTCCCTTCTGTTTTGCTAAACTTGCAATTTCATAGCTTAAAATAATCTGACATTATTTTGCTTCCAAAGTAAATGTAAAAATGCAATGTTACAGGCTTGCATGTCTGCTAAGGCTACAGTGACCTGTCTGCTTCCCACGAGGGATTCACAGCATGCAAGTCAGATACTAAGTAGGTTACAAAATGAGCAAACGTCCTTCAGATGGTTTGGGGCTCCGAAGACTGAGGCAAGCACACAGCAGCAGCACTGAGAAAGGGCAGTCTGCTAGAGGGCTTTGGGAAAGAGCTGGATTCTGCCCAGGAGGGAGGAGGGGACAGGGACAATGAAGCAATGGCCTCCTGGGGGAGCTAGGAAACCGCCACAGAATTTCAATACAGTGGAGCTGAGGGTGAGTGGACTGGGGGTGTTCTGTTTTGAGCCAAGTTAGTATCATCAGCAGAGGAAGCAGCAGGAAAGTACAGGCACAGTAAGGTGCACAGACCAACGGGAGCTGGGGCGGGGAGTCACTCCACAATAGCAGCCGGCACTTACTGAGACCGGCCACAGGCAGGCCTGGTTTTACTTGATACTAAGAGGTAAGTCCTGTCATCACTTCCCTATTATGGATGTGGAAAACTGAACTGGGACAGCTGAAGCCCACTCCATGCTGGGACAGGCAGGCCTGGGTTGGGAACACTGCCTGGTGTTCACCCAACACTCGGCCATGACGTCGTCGAGCTGGGGTTGCTGAGGTGGCTTGCAGCAACCCATGCAGAGCCTAGCAAGGATGCGGCTGGTCAGGCAGTGGAGACCACTGCAAGTCTGAATTCAACAACGTCACATGATCAGAGCTGTGATTCATAGAGATATACAAAACACAGTCCTAAGCCTCTCATATCTGTGCAACAACTGCTATACATAACTGAAAAGCAAAACATTTGATTATATAATCAACCTTAAATAATCATTCGTAAATGAAAATTCTATTCAATATTTTGCTCTTACTCCTTGAGAACAGAACCATGTGAGGGGTCACTAACACATCGAGGGCTTCCTTTGACCCCCAGACCTGAGTTCAGGCTGTGGATGTTTGGGAAGGCAAGCTGGAGGCAGGCATGGCCATGCACTTAACAAACACAAGAACCCAATTCCCCAGGCTGCAATGGGGAAGGCTTTGGCAGTAGGGAGGCGCCCTCCTGTGGCTGCCAGCAGTGGCACACCCAGCTGGTCTGTACCCGCCCACCTCAACAAGGACAGCAAGGACTGTGACACACAATATTCAGATCTCAGTGTTGCCAGGGCCACAGAAATGAGGTAACATCTACAAAAGATTTCAAGTAAAAATTATTGCCCTCACCTTGAGCCCTCATATCTCCCGTTCCTCTCATATTCAGTTGGAAGCCTCAACGAATAGAGTGTAGAAGCAGAGAGAAGTGGGAAAGAGAAAAGAAATCTTACATGCTAGTACAGACATTATAAAATGAATACATCTAACATGTCTGGTCCCAGCGGGGCTTATTAAAACGCCTCCCCTCCGCCTGACTGAGCTGCCACGTCTTCTCCACGAGGACACCCACCTCACACAGGCAAGGGCGTCCCGGCAGGCTTTTCTTGGAGCGCACTCATGGTGCTGGAATGGAAGTGTTCTTGCTTTCTAACCACTCCCACAGTCTAACATGTTTTCAATGAAAAGGAAATGGGCTATCTGTTAAATTCTACATTCAGTAACATCTTCTGTCCAAGGAAAAATTGGACAGCTGGGTACTGATCATGGAGGAGTGGGTATTGTGGTGCAGTGGGGGTCAACCCACTGCTGGGGACGTGGGCATCCCATAATGGAGTGCCAATTTCAGTCCTGGCTCCAATGTTTCTGATCCGATTTTCCACTAATGTGGCTGGGAAAGCAGCAGAAGATGGCCCAAGGAGTTGGGTCCCTGCCACCCATATAGGACAGCTCGATGGAATTCCTGGCTCCTGGCTTCTACCTGGTCCAGCCCCAGCCCCAGCTGTTGTGGGCATTTATGGAATGAACCAGTGGATAAAGATCACTCTCATTTTCTCTCTTTCTCTGTCACTTTGCCTTCGAAATAAATAATGAATAAATGTTTTCTAAAAAAGATCACAGAATGGAGTTCCCAACAGGAAGCAAGCATGAAATTTTTCTAGTTTTTAACAGAATTCATGTTAACAAAACCTTGCAGTGACTCATCCATTTCTTCAAAAACCACAGCTTGGCCTTCTGTTGATGGAGAGGCACAGGCAGAACGAGGTCTTTGGTGGCAGCTTCCCGCCTTGCGCGTGCACATTCCAGACAGCAGCGTTCCTGGCGTTCTTATGGCCATCACCAAAGAGCATCAACCGAATGGGAGCTCTACCTACCACAGGGCCTGAGTGAAGACAGTGAGGCACACGGGCTCTCTGCAGTGCAGGCGAAAAGGTGGCTTTTGAATGGAATACTACTAACTTCAAATTTCCGGAAACATGAAAATATTTCTGCTACAAAGCTGCTCATATCTTAATTTCTTTAAAAAAAAAAAAAAAAAGCCAAACTAAGTGAGGCTGTAGGTCTGAATTCCATGCTTGTTTCCAGTCTCAGGGCGTTAGCTAACACCTCTGCCATTTCAGTCTTGCTAATTCAGACTTCAATGAAAACACAATGACTAACGCAAAGGCACTTACCTCTCAGCCCGTGGCTCATCAGTAACTGCACACTAGTTACCGAGTACCTCATTCTTCAAACAGGAGCATGCCAAGTGTTATTAGTGTGAAGACAGAGTTATTTGGAATCTAAATAATTCTACCAAAGAAAGATAATGCACAGAGCATGCACAGGGCTTGTGTTGCATGGGTGCCAGAGCTCCTTTAAAATGTCTGACAGAGTTAATCTATTTCTTTCCAGTTTCTTTTCAAGGAAATAAGTACTTAGTTCTTAGCAGAAAGTTTAGTTTTTAAGGAAAAAACAGGGCCAGAAAGCCAAACCTGATGTTAATTGCAGGAGCCATTTGGGGGTGAGGATTAAAAAATAAGTGTGTATATATAAATCCTACCTTTTGATAAACCTGAATGACATGTTTCTAAAAGAAATTAAGCCAAAAAAAAAAATTAACGAAAGTGACTTGCACAAACCAAACAGAAAATCTAATCAGTTATAGACAGAAAAAACAAAAAAAAACCCACAGGGCTCCTCTTTTGGCCAATAAACAATGAACTGGTAACATGTTGAAAAATTAAATTATTGCAGATAACTAAATGAGTGTGAAACAGAAATTAAAAATTGCAGTTGTAAGAGAATGTTTAGTAATAAATACTACTGACATTGGCTATAACTGTATTTGAAGTTTTATAGATGGATATACTTTTAAGATAAAACTCAATGTCTTGTGTTAAAGACATGCTTTGCAATGTAACATTTTTCAATTTTCTTCAGAATATGAGTATCTAATGAACAAAAATCTCACCTTCCTATATAAGCATTACAAATGTCATTATAAAATATTTAACCACTAAAAGGTTCAACTTATTTTAGAAATGAGTTAAATATTCACAGAATGCTTGTACAATGATATGATATAAATCACATTTTAAGAAAAAATACAGTATTTGGATTTAAAGTATACTATTCAGAGATTTAGATCTCAATGAAAATTAAGTCACCAGGCATGGATTTTATTTTTATGTAATAAACTGAAAAGGAATGACTTGGGGTATCACAATTTTTTTTTTTTTTTTTTTTTTTTTTGACAGGCAGAGTGGACAGTGAGAGAGAGAGACAGAGAGAAAGGTCTTCCTTTGCCGTTGGTTCACCCTCCAAGGGCCGCCACGGCCGGCGCGCTGCGGCCGGCGCACTGCACTGATCCGACGGCAGGAGCCAGGAGCCAGGTGCTTTTCCTGGTCTCCCATGGGGTGCAGGGCCCAAGCACCTAGGCCATCCTCCACTGCACTCCCTGGCCACAGCAGAGGGCTGGCCTGGAAGAGGGGCAACCGGGACAGAATCCGGCGCCCCAACCGGGACTAGAATCCGGTGTGCCGGCGCCGCTAGGCGGAGGATTAGCCTAGTGAGCCGCGGCGCCGGCCGGGTATCACAAATTTTTAAAGAGATGTGTAAACTGTGCCAAAAAGAACCTGACAAGAGTTTTCAGGGTTTTATGCTCATGTCATCAGCTTACCTACGCAAGGGCAGGATGGGACTTGTTAACCTCTATTTATAAAACCAGTCCACTTCTGAAACTATATTCACCCATATGTATTTGTTGAATGCCTGAATGAAACAATGAAATCTGGATTTCTTCTAATCTGCGCTAACTCTGGCCCTGTTTTATATATCGGTGCAGTGGGCTAGGTCAGCGCTTGCTACTCTAGCATCCCATTTCAGAGCACCAGTCCAAGCCCAGCTGCTCTGCCCCTGATCCAGCTCCCTGCTAACACACTTGGAAAACCAGCAGAAGATGGCCCAAGTGCTTCAGACCCAGATGCAGTGTCTGGCTCCTGGCCCTGGCAGCTGTGGCCAATTTGGGAGTGAATTAGCAAATGGAAGATATTTCTCCAATTCTCTTTCAAATAGATAAACAAAAAAGACATCTTGACTACTATAGAAAACTGCCAACCACTTCATGATCAGACCACGTACACAGACAAAAAGGAACACATGAAAGTATTTTATAAATAAGCACTACATGATATACAAGGTGGTATCATTTGAACATTTATTTGAAAATGATTAAAATGTCTTTACTATATACTTTCCTTTCCCAGGGTTACTAGCTAAAACCTCCATGACCACCTGTCTTAGCTGTTTCTCCCATGACCACTACATACCAACAGAGGGAAGACCTTGGACGAAGCTGAGGGATGGAGACCAAACCATCTGGATTCTTGCTGGAACCACACAGATCCAGCTGGGGCCCAGAGGCACTGTGTCTGGGCTGTGGTGCTACTGGGGAAAGGGTCTCCAGGCCCTCAGAGTGGGCTGGGCCTGCTGCAGGGGAGAGGCACAGTCCTCCAGAGCCAGCTGCTCTGAGGGCAGGTCTTCTGACACTAGCCTTCTTCACACCTGACCAGCTCAGCATCCCTCACAGGCAGCAGCTATGTACAGACGTCTTGGCTTTTCAGGCATTGCCACTTTAATTCTAGCAGTGATTGCTAAGGGGAGGATAGACGTTTCAATGTAGCAGCAAGGATTTTAATTCTTTTTAAGAACAAAGTGGCTAGTACTAAGGGAGAAGACAGACCTGTTTGCAAACTTTAAACAAAATCAGGGAAAAGGCTATCTTTCTGTAAAAATTTGGGGTAGAAATGGACTGGGAATTGTAAAATAATAATTGTTTTAAAAAAGATTTATTTTATTTATTTGAAAGAGTTACAGAGGGAGAGGGAGAGGGAGAGGGAGAGGGAGATCTACTGCTTTCCCAGGCATATTAGCAGGGAGTGGGATCAAAAGTGAAGCAGCTGGGACTCGAACTGGTGGCCATATAGGATGCCGGCACTGCAGGCTGGGGCTTTAACCTGCTGCGCCACAGCACCAGCCCCAAGAATTTTTTAAAAACAAGCAACCTGTTTCCAATTTCAATTCAAACACAAAATAAATGTATTTAGAAATTAGAGACCAGGAACATGCCTGCCAACAGGTCTTTGCAAAGCTCTCCATGAAGGGCACAGCGCAGCACCTTGCAGGCCTCTCTGGAGATCCACCAACCTGGCTCAGGCACTTTTTTGCTGTAGGAATCTTGAACGCATTCCTTAATCTCAGAACCTCATCTTTAGTTTCCTCTATAAAATGGGGAATCTCTACCCTACAGGGTGGACTGTGGAGATTCAATGAATCAAAGGGAGTGTATATATATGTTACTAGATCACACACATATTTGTATGTGTAAAATGAGTATATCTATGGACATGCATCTTTATCTATCTTAGCACATGGTAAGCATCTAAACAGCAGCTGATATTCTTATTAATGGCAGTCTTAAAACTATCAGAAAAGGGCACAAAGATAATCAAATCATCTCAAAGATCTGAGTGTGCAAGGTTTTATTTAAAGAACCATTATGTAACAAACTATGAGGACACAAAGCTTCCTTTTCTGAACTCACAGAAACCTGACTGCTGGCACATTCTTTCTGTGCTCAGGGCTCTGAGAGGGAAACATCTGTGACACTAAGCCGGATAGGGAGGTAAACAGCCAGGTGAGTGGTACCTGGCTCCATCTTCTACCACCCAACTTTCATAGAAAGATCTCATTTCTGAGGTAGGATCTGGGAGACAAGCAGAAAAAAAGGAATGAATTATTTGGGGGCGTGGTAGGGAAAGGCACAAGACTTTCCTTGGGTTGAACTCAGTCTCCATTTCTGGTCACTAACAGGTTCCCCAAATCTGGGAAAGCACTTTAGACCTTTTTGTTTTATGCACTCTGGAATGGGGTGTCTTAGTGAAGGGCTGAGAGTATGAGGATAGGGCCGGTGCCGGGGCTCACTAGGCTAATCCTCCGCCTGTGGTGCCGGCACACTGGGTTCTAGTGCCGGTCGGGGCGCCGGATTCTGTCCCGGTTGCCCCTCTTCCAGGCCAGCTCGTGCAGTGGAGGATGGCCCAGGCTCTTGGGCCCTGCACCCACATGGGAGACGGGGGAAGCACCTGGCTCCTGCGGTGGCCATTGGAGGGTGAACCAACGGCAAAAGGGGGACCTTTCTGTCTCTCTCTCACTGTCCACTCTGCCTGTCCAAAAAAAAAAAAAAAAAAAAGTACAAGTATAGGCTGACCTCTGTCTCCTCTGACTTCTAGTTAATGCTAAAGTAAATGTAAAGTTACTAATTGTTGTAATACAACTTTCTGAGACCAAGAAAGAGAACAATGTTAAGATTTAAACTGGAACAAGCTCAGTTCTCTTAATGTCAATGAAGTGAGAGAGCAGGAGGTGTCCCTCTCTTTCAAAGCTGGGATGATGACCAGGACTATGTCATTTTCTTTGGTGCCTACATGGAATGCCAGCTGCTTACACCTGTATCAGACTTGGGGTGGTGCTGAACTGCAGTGAACACATGCTTGATCACAAGGGACAGTTAACAGCAGAAATCTTCCAAGTGCTAGATAACTTTCTAAGTGCTGTGAAAGGACTCTGAGCTCTGCAATTGCTCTTGTAAGGGTTTTAGTTACCAAGATATACATCAATCAGAGTAAGAGGAGCTAAGGCAGAATGAAAACCTTCCACGAAGCAGCTGCACAAACCACAAAAGACATTTCTCCTTGTTCCCAAACAACCAGCATCACCTGCACTCACCTTCTCGTGAGTTTTGAAGTTAATTTACTAAAGAGGTTCGTGGAGCCCCGGCTGCGAGTCTGGGACAACGGTGTGGCTTCGTGGGACAGGCTGGGTGAGGCGGGTGGGCCATTGTATGTTGCCGTTCGCCGCTCCCGGGGCTGGCCGTGGAAAGTGCTACGGGTGGCAGTGCCTCTTGGGAAGCGGATTCGATCCGGCGTGGCTGCACTGCTAATACTGTGAGTTGAAGCGACTGGGGTCCTCTGGTCAGGGACGGTGCTATGAGATCAAAAATACGAGGCTCTGAGATCTCCTGTTCACAAAATCATGGCACACAGAATTCACATCACTTCCCAAGGCAGAAAGTCAGGTATAACAAACCCAAATCCAAGAGGTGCTTAATAGGACTTACAAACAAAAGGAGGTGGGAAAGAGGACCAAGCAATAGCATGTAAGAGAAAGCCTCACGGAGTTCCAGTTTACGTAAGTCTTTAAGGACAAGATTAATGGAAGGGAACTCAGGACAGAACGGCCGACTCAGGCTTCTCCCCTCTGCTTCCCTCTCAAACTGCTTACATGTAGAGAACTGTGCCAATGTGAGAGAAAGAAAGGATATGGAGGTGTAAGTAAACAACAGGCAACTAAAATGTCTGGAAGCACACAAATGGCATAAAATCCCACATGCTGAAGGCAACGCAGGAGGCAGAGGGAATTTCTTTTGCCCTTTGTGGTATGCAAAGGCACAAAAACACACAGAGATGACCAAGGACAGGGACAGGATGTGCTTAATCACAATCACATAGAAGGACACCTTGGGGACGACTGTAACAAAATCTTGGACTATAAAATCCACTGCACAGAATTGAGCAGCAGTGGGTACACGGCAGTTTCACAGGAATGTGGATTTTTCTTACACAGCCTTGAAGTTATCCCCTCCACTGTCTACTGGAGTTAGCATCATCCTGGGGTGCCCACAGGCTGACATCGACATCGACTTCTGATGTCTCAGCCGGCAGGTGGAGGATGTGGCACAAACTGAGGCAGTGCTAGCTGCGTAAGCGAACACTTCTGTCAGGCTGGGAGGGGTTTGGGTTCAGGCAGAGGCAGAAACAACAGTATGACGGAGTAATGGTGAAAAAAGAGGAAACTGCTATTCAAAGCACACACCTTCCTTCCCAAACAATCTCAGCTTTGTGAAAGAACAAAAATCTCTTATCTTGTTTCGGGGATTTTTGGTCTATCTGATAACCTAGAGCTGGCTTTTTTTCAAACAGTAATTTTAAAAGTTTATTAACTTAAAGAGTAAGTGTTATGTGTGAATTATCTATGTGAGAGTAACAGCACCCTCTGAGTTTGCTACAGGCAAAACAGCAATTCCCTTTAATCTTGACGGACACAGTCTAAGATGTTCAGAACCTGATACACTACGTTTTCTCCTATGCACACATATCAGTGATAAGATTTCATTTATAAATCAGGCAAATTAAGAAATTTAACAATAATATAGAAAAATATACTGTAATAGAAGTTGCTTAAAACTTAAGAATTGGGGCCAGCATCATGGCACTGGTGGTTCAGCTGGTTGTGACACCCACATCTTAGTTTCAGTCCCAGTTACTGTCCTTCTGATCCAGCTTCCTAACACACCAGGGGAGACTGCAGAAGATGGTCCAAATACTTGGGCCCATACCCACCCATGCAGGAGACCAGAGTTCCTGGCTCCTGGCTTCAGCCTGGTCCAGACCTGGCCACTGTGGCCATCTGGGAAGTGAACCAGTGGATGGAAGATCCCTTTCTGTCTCTCCCTTTCTACTTTCAAATAGATAAATACATATTAAAAAAGTAAAATAAATGAAAATTTATGAATTATTTCTAGAATCTTCCATTTAGTATTTCTGGACTATGGTTGACACTAGGTAGCTGAAATTGTCCAAAGCAAAACCTTGGATGAGAGGGGACAACTGGAGATAAGCATATTGTGCTGTCAATCTTTCTGAAAACACACTGACATATCATATCCTGTGTTGCTTTTTTTTTTTTTTTTTTTGACAGGCAGAGTTAGACATTGAGAGAGAGAAAGAGACAGAGAAAGTTCTTTTCTGTTGGTTCACCCCCCAAATGGCTGCTACGGCCGATGCACTGCATCGATCTGGAGCCAGGTGCTTCCTCCTGGTCTCCCATGTGGGTACAGGGCCCATCCTCCACTGCCCTCCCGGGCCAGAGCAGAGAGCTGGACTGGAAGAGGAGCAACTGGGACAGTGCCCCAACTGGGACTAGAACCTGGGGTGCCAGCACCGCAGGCAGAGGATTAGCCAAGTGAGCCGCGGCACCGGCCATGTTCTTTTAACAACAGTTTCAAACTTTGCTACTCATAGGACATCTATTCCTTTATAAAGGACAGCCAAAATTCCTAAAGAATCAAAGCTCCTTCTTTCAAGATGGGAAAATTCTTCAGAGCAAATTAGCTGTTTACAGACCCTACAGTGGTTGAAGGCTGCAGTTCACCTGCACAGACAGTTAAGGGCCAAAGCCACCCTGGAGGTCTCACTATGACCACTTCTACTCAACTCCAGTTCAGTCATAACATCTGCAGGATCCCAAGGGACAGTTTCTTTCCACTAGGGACAACAGAATTTTAGAATTTCCTCAACTCCCACTTACAGACCCCCTGTGACATCTGTGACACAGACCCTGGTGTCAATGTCTAGGAGCTCTTCAGTCGGCCCTCTCTCTCTGTCCACCTCTGCCATCAGAATCTGGTATAGGGCTTTGTTCCTCATCTTTATCATCTCCCTGACTTCATCCTCTACCTCCAATCTATCCACCAAATAGCTGTGAACTCCTCACAACACAAACATGGCCTGTCACTTATCTGCTCATACCCTTTTGCAGCAGTGAGTCAAACTCCTCATCTTCAGGTACCTGCGGTCTGCACCCTGCCACACTGCCAGGCTCCACCTTCTGTTGCTTCCTCTTGGAACCTGACTCTGGCTCTCCTGATCAGCACTAGTCAATGAACTTCTCCAGGAGCTTCCTCTCAGCCTGGAGAGCAGGCACCTATCCATGCACTCTGGAGGTCATTTCCTCCATGAAGTTTCCTCTGATGTGCTGCTCCTTTAGCGTCTGTAGTCATGTGTGCCACACTGGATCACAATGACTCTTTCCTACTGGGGCTCCCTGGAAGAATGGCCCATAATCTTGTCAGGGTGTCCCGTGGGGTCAGACGGAGCCCCAGGCAAAGCAGGTACTCAATATATGCTCTTCTTAAGGAGACTAGTTAGTCCAACAACAAGCTACTAGAATTCTGACATTCCTAACATGAGGGAGACAGGTCTTTAAAATGAACTGGTCAAAAAGGGCTGCTTACATTAGAAAAAAGTTTATTTTCATTTATTTGAAAGGTAGAGAGCGAAAGAATGCTTCCATCTGCTGAGTTACTCCCCAAATGCCAACAGCCAGGGATGGGACAGGCTGATGCCAGTAGCCTAGAACTCTATGTGGGTCTCCCACATGGGTAGCAGGTGCCCAGGCAATGGAGCCATCATCTACTGCTTCCTGGATGATAGAGCAGGAAAGCAGATTGGAAGTAGTTAGGACTCAAACCAGCACTCCCTATATAGGATGCAGGCATTCCAAGTGGTGGCTTAACCTGCTGCACCAACACCCACACCTGTCTTTGCACTTTTATTTGAGAATTTTTCCCTCTGCTTCGGGAGAGTGGCTCGATATAATCAGAGAATAACTGGAAACAAATGCCTTATATAATAAATAATTAGAAAGATCTCATTTTCCCCTATTTAAATGAAGGGCAGTGAATGAGAGATCAATCAACTGATCGATGATCTATTCCCTGGTTCACTCCTCAAATGCCTGCAACAGCCTGGGCTGCACCAGGCCAAACCCCGGGGGCTCAGAACTCAATCTGGGTCTCTGAAGTGTGTGTCAAGGACACGAGTACTTGAGCCATAAGCTGCTGCCTCCCAGAGTGCACACATTAGCAGGAAGTTGGAATCAGAAGTAGAGCCAGAAGTCAAACCCAGGTACTCTGATATGGTACGTAGAAAATCAAGGCAGCATCCTAACTGTTATACTAAAAACAAAAAACAAACAAAAAACAACAATCCCAGTCTCATTTTATTAAAAATATAAGAAAAACTTATTTATTCATTTATTTGGAAGGCAGAGAGAAAGAGATCTTCCATCCATTGGTTCCCAAATGTCTGCAACAACTAGGGGCTGGGCCAGGCCAGCGAGCAGTCTGGGATTCAATACACATATTCCACAGGGGTAGCAAACACTCGAGCCATTACGTGTTGCCATCCAGGGTGTACATTAGCAGGAAGCTGGCTCAGAAGCAGAGCTGAGACACAAATCCAGGGATTTTGATATAGGATGTGGTCATCCCGAAGGGGGAGACTAACTGCTGCACCAAATATCCACTCTTTTAAAGATGCCCTTTTTATGTCAGTGTGTTTGGACAGGTTTTCTGTCACCTCCAGCAGAGAATCCTGACTCAGGTATTTAAACAAATGCCTGGTTGTTCCTTGTATGTGTGTACAAAGAGACATATTTATATAAAAATTATAATTTTATAACACATTATATATAAACACAATTATTTTCTGTGCTGTTTTACCTATTCAGGACAGGTCAAGGTCAACATAGTTAATATGCTCAAGTGTTGACATTTTCTAGCCCAAACTGGGAAATGAGATCAATGGATATACCAAGAATAGCAGGGGGAAGGGAGGCAAGAGTTGATTGTTCTTCCCTGGAGAATACTAGTTCCAAAAGCCATGGGGGGAGGGGAGGTTCAACTCAGTGCAGAGCAGCAGCTATGCCATCTACCCAGGAGACATGCACAGGCAAGACCTACAGGTATGTGAGCTGTTGGACCTGGCCTCATTACAGCTGGAGTCCTCAGAAAGACTGCCAAGTTGACATTTCCATTATAAACTGCTAAGTTTTATGATGGACCAATCTTAAAGGTGATTAAATCAATCATTTCTTTAGAAATGTAGTTCATGTCATTCCATATCCTCCATTAAACGAGCAACAAAACAGATCTGTGCTTTTGGCTCCTATGGTAGGACAACTGTCCTGACATAGAAACAGTAACTCAGTAAACGTCTTCTGAATTTTAAGTTCATAGACTCAAACTCACAAAAATTCTATTTACAACAGCTCCAAAAACACAACAAGCTACATTTTCAAAAGCTGGTTGCTGTGGAAGTTTGAACAATATTTATTTTTCCAGAAAAGTGTTAACAATTATGATTACAGTCACAATCTAGTATACAACATTCTATGTAAGCAGAACAGTAGCTGTATTACATTTTTAGTAGTTCTGGGTCCAAGGAAGCACCGTGTCTTAAATCTTACAGAAATAACAGTATTTTTTGTAAAATTCAAGTTGCAAGAAGTTGAATTCCTATTAATCTTCTCAACTGTTTTGTTTTATACGTTTACATTTTTCTTAAAAAAAAAAAAAAAAAGCCTCTAATCCACTTGGGGTAAAGGACAGGTGGTCTGAATCAGTCTGATAGGATGTTTTGGCTCATATCAGAATATTCTGACATGAAAAGTTTTAGTTGCTGACTAAAAGCATATTCAGGGGCTGGTGTTGTTGCGTAGTGGGATAAGTCTCTGCCTGCGGTGCCAGCATCCCACATGGGCACCGATTCGTGTTCCAGCTGCTCCTCACCTGATCTAGCTCTCTGCTATGGCCCGTGAAAGCAGAAGATGGCCCAAGTTTTTGGGTCTCTCACACATGGGTACTTGAGCCATCACACCTGCTGCCTCTCAGGTGTGCATTAGCAGGAAGCTGGATCAAAAGTGAAGGTGGGACTAGAACCCCGGCATTCCAATATGGGATTCAGGCATCCCAAGCAGCATCCTAACTGTTACACCAAATGCTTGCTTCTAGCTTTATTTTGCAAATAGTGAAGCTCATAAAATAAAAAGAAAGATTGGACCAGTGAAGGATCAACAAATGGGCTTGTGCTGTGGTGCAATGAGTTAAAGCCAAGGCCTACAGCGCTGGCATCCCATATGGGAACCAGCTTGAATCTCTGTTGCTCCAATTCAAATTCAATGACCTGCTAACACACCTGGTTAAGCAGGGCAAGATGGTCCAAGTGCTTGGGCCACTGCACCCCTGTGGCAGATCCAAAGAAACTCCTGGCTCCCGGCTTCAGCCTGACGCAGCCCCAGTTTTGTCAATGAGGAGTGAACCAGCAAATGGAGAATCTCTCTGTCTCTCTTCTCTCTTTCAAATAAATAAATAAATAAACTCTTCAAAAAGTCAACAAGTAAAATTCTCAAAAGGAAAAACCTATGTAAAAAAAATCAATTACGGTGGCCAGTGCTATCGAACAGCATATAGCCACTGCCTGCAGTGCTGGCATCCCATAGAGGCACCATTTGGAGTCCCAGCTGCTCCACTTCCGATCCTGCTCTCTGCTATGGCCTGGGAATGCAGGGGAAGATGGCTCAAGTCCCTGGCCCCTGCACCCGCATGGTAGACCTGGGGGAAGCTCCTGGCTCCTGGCTTTAGATTGGCCCAGCTCTCATTGCTGAGGCCATTTGGGAAGTGAACCAGTGGATAGAAGACCTCTCTCTCTCTCTGCCTTTCAAATAAATATAATTTTTTTTTTAAATAAATTAGACTGCCTGGGGTAAGGTTAAAAAAAAAATCTCTCTGGGGGCCAGCACCACTGGGGGCCAGTGCTGTGGTGCAGCGGGTTAAAGCCCTGGCCTGAAGCACTGGCATCCCATATGGGTGCCGGTTCTAGTCCGGGCTATTCCGATCCAGCTCTCAGCTATTGCCTAAGAAAGCAGTAGAACCCAAGTGGGAGACCTGGAGGAAGCTCCTGGCTTTGGATCGGCACAGCACAGCTCTGGCCATTGCAGCCATCTGCGGAGTGAACCAGCTGATGGAGGACCTCTCTAACTCTTTCCAAAAAAAAAAAACAAAAACAAAAACAAAAACAAAAAACCTGGTGAAACTCATCTTCAAAAGCATTTGCTAAAACTGAACATACCTTCATGATAAAAATTCTCAATAAATTAGGCACAGAAGGAACACATCTCAACATAGTAAAAGCTAAATATGACATACCACAGCCAACATCATGCTGAGGAAAAGTCGAAAGTGGAGATGCTTCCTCTGAGATATGGAACAAGATAAGGATGCCCACCTTCAACATCAACACTCCTTTTCAATACAGTACTGAAGTCTCGGCTAGAGCTACTAGGCAAGAGAAAGAAATAGGATGGGGCCAGCACTGTGATGCAGCAGGTTAACGCCCTGGCCTGACGCACTGGCATCCCATATGGGTGCCGGTTCAAGTCCCAGCTGCTCCACTTCTGATCCAGCTCTCTGCTGTGGCCTGGGAAAGCAGTGGAAGATGGCCCAAGTTCTTGGACCCCTGCACCCACATGGGAGACCTGGAAGAAGCTCCTGGCTTCGGATTGGCGCAGTACTAGCTGTTGCGGCCAACTTGGGAGTGAACCATCGGATGGAAGACCTCTCTCTCTCTGCCTCTCCTCTGTGTAACTCTGACTTTCAAATAAATAAATAAATCTTAAAAAAAAATGACAATTAAGACACCCCATCCCCAAACATCATCCTATATTCAAAAGCTTAAGACACTGGTTAAGTCTTCATATAGCTTTTATCAGCCATGACTGTTCTCAGGTTGAAGTTCTCAATAAACACATCCAGAAGAAAGAAGTCCAACATACTTAAGTTCACCTAGGAATGAAATTCAGTGTGGTTGTTTCAGAAGTTAACAGGTGCAGGTATCTTGTTGCTTACTAGTACTTTAAATCAGTGAAGGTGTAAGATGAATATGTGGGAGAGGAGAGGAAAAAGCAACAATCTGCCTAAGAAGCTGTCTGTGCAGAGACAGAGACTTGTGCATCTAAAGGAAAACTCAAAATTCCTGTACCAGCCAGGGCCAGGCCAGGGCGAGGTAAGGAGTTTGGAAGTCAATCCAGGTCTCCCAAGGGGTTGGCAGGGACCCAAGTACTTAAGCCATCAGTTGTTGCCGCTACTAGAGCCTATTAGCAAGAAGCCAGAAATGGAGTGCAGCACTTCAGCACGGATGCAGGCATCCCAGGGCGTCTGTTTGCTCAACACTGGCTACACAGATTTTCAATTCATTTGTTAGAAAGAAAATGAGAATCCAGGCTCTACTGAAACCATGGGCCCTGTCTCCTAGGGTTTGGTGCTGGGGCTTTGATTTGTTAAAGGCAGCACCTTCAAAAGCTAAGTATCTCAGTGATCAGTGCTGAGAAGTAACGAGGCCCAGGCCTCAGGCTACTGAAGAGTCAGTCCCCAGTGAAGATGTTTGTAGGGGAACGCAGAAAGGAAGAGCCTCCAATGAAATTGAAGAAGCCTTGAAACTACTTCCACAGGGTGAGCTGAATAACGTAGGAAAGGTCAATGAGCAGAGAATGGGCATGCACACAAGCCCTGCTGAGGGCACAAAGATAAACAGAGTGGGGACAAATGAAAAATGGTGGTTCTTGGTCTGAACACTCTTAAAAGGTCTGACTCTGTACCTCACAGCACCACACGCTGTAAAGCCTAAGAGGAGCCTGGCAGAGTACTTCAAGACCTAGGATCATTTGTGAAAACAAGAGGGGTCATGCAAAGTTTTCCCTGTCCTGCAGGCAGAAATCTGTAACATTAGAAACTTCTAGTAAAGTCATATACATACCAATACACACACATTCATGTACACACATACGCAAATGTATCTCATATTAAGTCACTTTTGAACTGTAAGAAATCTGATAATTAAAAAAAAAAATCAGAGACTACTACAAAGAAATAAGTATACAAATCATTATCTATAAATCAGCCCAGTTGCCAAATTCTAGTTCTTAATGATTTTTAATCATAAGAAATATAATGTTACACATATACACAGAGTCAGAAAAGAGAACACAAAAATGAAAATATTTCTAGAAGCACTAAATAATAAATATCACTTTACAACTCAGACTTCAGTGACTGCGAGACAGGGAAATGAGACAGTGTGGTTTTAAGGGCAGAGGAAGAGTCTGCTTCAGCAGTCACTGAAGTTAGTGATGCCACATTTCCTGTCATCAATGAGATCCAAAAATAGAAACCTTACAATGCAATTTAATGTCAGAAAAAAAGAACGATGATGTCAGACATGACCATTAAATAACGCTCCAGTGAGGAGGCCACAGGACGACACACGATTTTACAGATTTCGACCTCGGCACTCTGACTCATGTCACATTAACTTCAACTTACTTTACACAACTCTTCCAAAAATAAGACAATCTGTAAGAGCCTGGTAAATTTGTTCTATTTACAATATATCTAATGTTTCTCTTTTTCTTTCTTTTCCTCTCTTTAATCTCAAACTAACTCTACCTTGCAGTTTCTGGAACTTTAACCTCAAGGAAGTCACCTGCAGTATGACGCTCTCCTTACTGACATCTTACACGCTTCACGCTGTCAATCACGCTCCTTCCATGCATGCTTGCCCCTCAGCCAGAGGAGACACTCTGCTCCCCTGGACTCTCCGGTCTCTTCCTCAGGCGGAGACTACGCTACCGCTCTGCTATCTGGGCCTTTGGCAAACAGCTGACGGTGGCTCATCCTTTAAGGGTGTGACTCCTGGTCTCAGGCCTTCATCCCTTTTCTCTTTTGGCCTTTGTGCAAGAAATTGATGTGCAAAAAATTATTTCATTTCCTTATTCACTGTCCTACAATGAAACCATGGTTTACCACCTACCTCCTCTGGGAAACCTCCCTGGTTTAAGGCAGTCCTTCTCATTATCACACAGCCAGTCAGGAGGTTCAGGCTCTGGACACTTTGAATCCTAAAGTCTTTCTCAAAATAAGCACTCAAATTTAACTTATCATTAGAAAATACTGACTGTTAATGCTTGAATTTTGACTATAAAAACCACGAAGTAAATAACATGCTACCATTTATCTTGGGGGAAAAATACAAATTTTCTTGCAAACACAGGTGAAATTTTGTACCTGTTCTCTTTGCCATTCTGAATCACTGAGTGTCTATCAGCTGTGGTTCTCTCACTGCAAACGTAAGTATTTCGCCGTGTCATTCCACCAGATGCTGTGTTACTCTACAAAAAAGGGCATTTTTATGTTCCATTATTTGGCCAAGTACAGCACAACAACAAAAAAACTCACCTACACAGACATGAATACTCAGTCATTAAATCAAATTATACTAAAACATCAACCATAATGTCCAAAACATCAGAAGAGGGTTTGAGGGCAGTAATCTCTATGTTCTCTCCTGGCAGAAGAAACGCAAGGTAACCATGGTAGGATGACTCTGAAAAGCTGGTCTATAGGGGCTGGCGCTGTGGCACAGTAGGATAAGCCTTCGCCTGCAGTGCCAGCATCCCATATGGGCACCAGTTTTGTGTCTCAGCTGCTCTTTCTTCTGACCTAGCTCTCTGCTTATGGCCTGGGAAGGCAGGACAGGATGACACACGTGCTTGGGCCTCTGCAACCTAAGTGGGAGATCCTTAAGAAGCTCCTGGCTCCGGGCTTTGGACTGGCCCAGCTCCAGCTGTTATGGCCATCTGGGGAGTGAACCAGCAGATGGAAGATCCTTCTGTCTCTGTCTTTAACCCTATTTCTTAAATAAATAACGCATTTTTTTTTAAAAAAGGTAAAGCTGGTCTACAAAAACAATAAAATAATAATTCATGAATTACTTTAAATAGGACAGTAGGGTAATTATGTATTTTTAAAAGCAAATATTTTTCAAAGTTAAAAAAGCAAGATTATATGGGGCTGGTTTTACAGCATAGTGGGTAGTAAAGCCACCCTCTGTGGTGCTAGCATCACATATGAGCACCAGTGTGTCCCAGACGTTCTACTTCCAATCCAGCTGTGAATGGCTTGGGAAAAGCAACAGAAGATGGCCCAACTGCTTGGGTCCCTGCCTCCCCCTGGGAGTCCTGGATGGAGCTGGATTCAGGTCAGCAGTATAATTATAGACAATTACCTAATGCTCTCTCTCATTTTCTTCCCCTTGTGATTTCATTAATCCGTGATCCTCGGCACATGGCAAGAACTCCAACAATGTTCTTTCTCCTAATAGCCCTCTGAAGACTCAGTGCAAACACTGTGGCCAGGGCACGCAGTCAGGAGGCTTCTGTCTGCTGGCACTATATGCTGCACTTTACACCCTCTGAGCCTAACAGGTCAGCCCATTTCTCAGTGCCTATCACAACCTAGAGCTCAACAGATGCTGGGGAGTCACTGGACAGGCCCAGAGAGATCTGATCACTCAGATCGTATGTGGGTGCTGTCATGTGACATGCTGCATCCCTTGAAAAAGCATGTTGAAACAATTGCCAATTCAACAGTGTTAAGAGGTTAGGCTCTCACGAGGTGAGTGGGCCACGAGGGTTCTGCCTTCATCAATAGGTTAGTGTCTAATAAAGAGCTTTAGGGAAGGGCTGGTGCTGTGGTGTAGCAGGTAAAGCCGCTGCCTGCAGTGCCCACATCCCACATGGGCATCAGTTGGGAGGCCCGGCTGCTCCACTTCCAATCCAGCTCTCTGCTATGGCCTGGAAAAGCAGTAGAAAATGGCCCAAGTGCTTGGGCCCCTGCACCCACATGGGAGACCAGGAAGCTCCTGGCTTCTGGCTTCAGATTGGCTCAGCTCCGGCCACTGGAGCCATTTGGGAAGTGAGCCAGCGGATGGAAGACCTCTGTCTGTCTGTCTGTCTCTCTCTGCTTCTTCAAATAAATAAATAAAATCTTTCATACAGACAAAAAAGGAGAGCTTTACGGAGTTAAGTTTGTCCCAGACACAGCAACTGTCTCCTTTGGAGAACATAGCAACAAGGCACCATTTTTTTTTTTTAAATTTCTTTCCTTATTTTATTTCTTCCTTAAGAGTTACTTCTTATTTGAAAGGCAGAAGCAGAGAGAGGGGGAAGGATATATATGAAAAGAAATATTTCTTAAAAGATCCAATTTCTTTTTTTCCCCCCTTTTAAAGATTTATTTATTTGAAAGGCAGAGTCACAGAGAGGCAGAAGCAGAGGCAGAGAGAAGTCTTCCATCTGCTGGCTCGATTCCCAAATGTCTGCAACAGCCAGAACTGGGCCAGGTTGGAGCCAGGAGCCAAGAGCTTCTTCTCGCTCTCCCAAGTGGGTGCAGGGGCCCAAGGACTTGGGCCATCTTCCACTGCTTTCCCAGGCCATAGCAGAGGCTGGAATAGATAGAAGAGGAGCAGCTGGACACAAATGGGCACCCATATGGGATGCCGGCACCACAGCTGAAAGCTTAGCTTACTATGTTAAAGTGTCAGCCCCTAAGAAATATTTTCCATCACTGGTTCACTCCCCAAATAGCCACAACAGCTCAGGTAGGAGCAAGTCAAAGCCAGGAGACAAGAACTCCATAAAGTTCTCCCACATGAGTCATCTTCCATTGCTTTCCCAGACGAATTAGCAGGGAGCTGGATAGGAAGAGAGACAATCAGGACTCTAATGGGTGCTCATGTGGGATGCTGATGTCACACCCAGCGGATTAACCTGCTGCACTACAACGCTGGTTCCGCAAGGAACCATCTTGGAAACAGCACAGCCCTCACCAGAACCCTCAAGGTTCCCTTGCTGGAACCCTGATCTTGGGCCGCCCACTCCAGCGAAAGTGAATTACCCAGGCTCAAGTGTTCTGTTAAGGCTAAGAGGGAGCGTCAACTCCAACACTACACCCACAGGACCACTCTCTGGATCAACACTACTTACACTAGGGACAGCAGAGCTTTTCTTGCGTTCAGGAATATCTGCCTTATTGGGATTACTTGCATTGCCAAGCATTGGGCTGGCTGGAGCAATCCCCTTTCCTGCAGCAGCACTGACGCCCGTTTTCCGGGAGGGGATTCCATCTTCTTTGAGGTCACTATCTGCAGTGCTGGTCTGACTCCGTTTTGGATAGGCCACAACAGAAGGAACAGCTGGTCCAGCTAAAATAAAGAGTGCAGGTTTTAAGACAGAACAGTTTTCCATCTTACTTTGTAAAAATATACATATGTTGTAAGATGACCTAAGATTGTTAAAAGTAAACATTAAAATCCTGTTTTCCACTGATACATGTTTACTCTATACAATGAATTCACTTTTGAAATTTCACTTATTAGTCTTTTTGTGCCTTTTTCCTTTTTAAAAAAGATTTACTTATGGATTTGAAAGGCAGAGTTATAGAAAGCGAGCGAGAGGGAGAAGGAAAGATTGTCCATCTGCTGGCTCATTTCTCAAATGGCTGCAATGGCCAGGGTAGGGCCACTCCAAAGCCAGGTGTCTAAAACTCCATCCAGGTCTCCCATGTGGGAGCAGAGAGCTGGAACAGAGTTGGAGCACCCGGACTCAAACTGGTGCTCAATGGGATGCTGGTGTAGACTGTGGTTTAACCTGTGTACCACAGACCTGGCCCTCTGCCTTTTTTTTTTTTTTAATGTTTTATTTATTTATTTATTTATTTATTTATTTATTTATTTATTTCAAAGTCAGAATTACAGAGAGAGACAGAGGGAGAAACAGCTGCAACAGCCAGGACTGGGATAGGATGAAGCCAGGAGCCAGGAGCTTCATGAGGGTGCAGGGGTCCAAGGACTTGAGACAGCTCTGCTGCATTCCCACCAGGCTTATTAGCAGGGAGCTGGATCTGATACAGAGCAGCCAGGACTCAAACTGCTATCCATATGAAATGCCAGCGGTGTAGGCGGCTGCTTTACCTGCTACACCAAAAAGCTGGCCCCTCCTTTTCTCAAACATTAAAAAATCTGGGGCCAGAGCTATGGCGTAGTGGTTAAGACACCATCTGCAGTGATGGCATCCCACACTGGTGCTGGTTCGAGTTCCGGCTGTGCAACTTCTGATCTAGCTCCCTGCTAACGTGCCTGGGAAAGCAGCAGATGATGACCTCAGTGCTTGGGCCCCCGCACCCAAGTGGGAGACCTGGAAGAAGCTCCTGGATCCTGGCGTCAGCCTGGCCCAGTCCTGTCTATTGTGGCCATTTGGGGAGTGAACCAGTGGATGGAAGATCTCTGTCTCTCCCTCTCTAATTCTGACCTTCAAATAAACAACATTTAAAACAAACAAAAAAGATTAAAATTTTAAAGTTTATTTATTTGAAGGGCAGTGACATGAACAGAGACAGATGGTGAGTGTGTACATGTGTGAAAGGGAAAGAGAGAGAGATGGGGGGGGGGGGGGGACAAAGAATAGATTTTCCATCTGCTAGTTTATTACTCAAATCCCCACAACTGGGTCAGGCCAGATTTTGCCAAAGCCAGGAGTCAGGAACTTCATCTGGGTCTCCCATGTGGGTGGCACGAACCCAAGTACTTGAGTCACCACTGCTGTCTCCCAAGGTATGCTACAGTAGGAAGCTGGATTAGAAATGGATGTGGGGCTCAATACTAGGCACTCTAATATGGGATATGGCCACCCAAGTGGCAGCTTAACCTGCTGGGTCACAATGTTTTCCCCAAAACTATTTTTTTTTTTAAGATTTTATTTGAGAGGTAGAGTTACAGTGAGAGGGAGAGACACAGAGAAAGGTCTTCGTTCTGTGGTTCACTCCCCAAATGGTTGCAAAGGTCAGAGCTGAGCTGAACCAAAGCCAGGAGCCAGGAGTTTCTTCCTGGTCTCCCACATGGGTGCAGGGGCCCAAGCATTTAAGTATCTTCTACTGCTTTCCCAGGCCATAGCAGAGAGCTGCATTGGAAGAGGAGCAGCCAGGAATAGAACCAGCACCCATATGGGATGCTGGCACCACAGGTGGAGGATAACCTACTGCCCCACAGTGCCAGCCCCATCCCCAAAGCTTTTTTAATTAGTAACTATCTAGAAACTTCCTTTAAAAACAATTTACAGAGGTGTTACTACATAAATAACTAACCAAACCACTAAATATACAACATGCAAAGTGTAGATTCATCTCCGTGAATTACAGCTTATTTTGTATAGTGGATACCTTTACCTTATGGAACAAAACAGTAGATATCTTACAGGTATTTCTTTTGAAGATCTACCTTGGATTCTAAAAGAGCACTCACAGGCTTCTAGGTAAACAGGAAGCTGAGCAGACAGGGAAAGGTGGCAGAGAAGAAAGCATGTTCTTCCTGCAAGCTGCAGGGAGGAAATGGGTGATGTCCCTGAGAACAGCACCGTGCAGGTGCCTGCAGTAAGCTGTATGGAGATGCCACTGTAGTACAGGAGACTCCGGATGCAAACAGCTTGGGAAATGAACATGAGAGCTAGGAAACACATCAGATATGATGCCTTGCACCAAATGCTCATGATTTATTCTAAGGTGTAAGTGAGACTGAATTTGAGGTCTGTTGAAGTGGGCATCTGGAGAAGTTACTTCTGGGAGAAAAATCTAAATGGTAAAAGTATTTGGAATTTAACTAAAAGTGAAGGAAGGGCTCACTGAGGTTGGCAATTTTCACATTATAAAACAAAGCATCAATCAAGTATAGGTAACACTATCTTCATCACTGTTTTCTTCCTAAAATCAGGGCAGACTTACTAACACTGCACACTTTCAGGTTACCACTGACTTGGAGTTTTTATCATTTTTATTTAGAAAATACAAACTCAAGATTTGAGTTCTGAATGGAAACAGACATTACTCCAATCCACTGACCCCACTTATTTTCCTGCACTCATTTATGTCTGTATATTTAGCACTACACCCTCATTACATGTATGGATCATGAACACCAGTCAGGAGACAGAACAGTCCCCTCTAAAGACCCTGAGAGCTACCCTGCCACAGCTACAGCTGCCTCCCTCCACCTCACCCAATCTCATCTTTACAATTCTGCACTTCAAGAGATGTCTGGACAGTCACTGGTTTGTAACGTTTGGAGTTGTTTTCCTACTCACGGCAATCCCCGTGAGCTGTACTCAAGTTGCTGTGGGCATCTCCATCTATTCCTGTACATGGTGTAGACTATAGTGTGGACATTTTACAATGAAATTTGGTTTTTATGTAGTCAAATGTGTTTGTTTTTTTTTTTTTTAAGATTTAGTGTTTGAGGTCATAGTTAGAAAGATCTTCATCAGTCCATGTTAAAAAGCACATTATCCCATGTTTTCTTTTAATATTTCTCAGATTCTTTTTTTTTACTTTCATGTTCAGTCCACCTGGAATTCATCCGTGTGTAAGATGTGAGAAATGGATCCAAACGCACACTTTTCTGATAACTACAAAGCCGTCCTAACAGCACTCACTGATTAGTAAGCCAATGATTTCTTATTTGAGAGTCAGGCTGGCAGAGTTCCTATCTACTGGTCCACTCCCCAAATGCCAACAGCAGCTGGGGCTGAGCTGGGACCACCAAACCCAAGAACTGGGAATGCAATCCAAGTATTCCACACGGATGACAGGAACCCAATCACCTGAGTCAACAGTTGCTGCCTCCCACAGTCTGCAGTAGCAGGAAGCTGGAGTCACAAGTCAGAGCTGGGATTGAACTCAGGTACTCTAATGTGAGATGTCTAGGCCAAATGCTCATCCCTTTGTGTTTTCTAATTTTTAAAAAAGATTTTATTTATTTGAAAGGCAGAGTTACAGAGAGAAACAGAGACAGAGATAGATCTTATATCCACTGGTTCACTTCCCAAAAGGCCAGGTGGAAGTCAGGAGCCTGGAGCTCCATCTGGGTATCCCATGTGGGTGGCAGGGGCCCAAGCACTTGGGTCATTTTCTGCCACTTCCCTAGGCACATTAGCAGGGGCCTTCATTAGAAGTGGAGCAGACCAGGGTCTGGCACTGTGACATAGCAGGTAGATCTGCCCCCTGCAGTACTGGCATCCCATATGGGCGCCGGTTTGTGTCCCGACTACTCCATTTCTGATCCAGCTCTCTACTATGGCCTGGGAAAGCACTAGAAGATGATTCAAGTCCTTGTGCCCCTGCACCTGCATAGGAGACCCAAAAGAAACTCCTGGCTTCAGATTGGTGGAGCTCTGGCTGCTGCAGCCAAATGGGGAGTGAACCAGTAGATGGAAGACCACCCCTCCCCTCTCTTTCTCTGTAAATTTTTTAAATAAACAAATCAATCTTTAAAAAAAGGAGAACAAGTGGAGTGGCCAGGACTTGAACAGTGCTCAGGGATGCTGGCACTGCAGTCAGGTGTTTAACCTGCCCCCATTCCTCTCTACCCTTTTTTTTTTTTTGAAATCAAGATAAAGAACCCCATCAAGGGGCCCGGTGCTGTGGTGTAGTGGGTAAGGCTGCTGCCTGCAGTGCCGGAATCCCATATGGGTGCCGGTTCAAGTCCCGGCTGCTTTGCTTCCGATCTGGTACTCTGCTGTGGCCTGAGAAAGCAGTAGAAGATGGCCCAAGTCCTTGGGCCCCTGCATCCATGTGGGAGACCCAGAGGAAGCTCTTGGCTCCTGGCTTTGGATCGGCACAGCTCTGACCGTTGAGGCCAACTGGGGAGTGAACCAGCAGATGGAATACCTCTCTCTGCCTCTCCTTCTCTGTGTAACTCTTTCAAGTAAATAAATAAATCTTAAAAAAAAAAAAAAAAAAAAAAAGACCCTGTGGAAATAGGATGATCATCCTTCCTAGAAAAATGTTTACATCTGGGTACCAAATTAAGAAACATAGCTATGGATTACACCGGATTTGGGAGGGAGGAGGTGACAGTGAGTGGAGACGGGAGGACCTGCTGGGAGCAGGCCTAACTTTGGGTCTGCCTGCCTTTACCTGCTGTCAGGTCGACCTGCTTTGCCAGGGGACCCATTTGGAAACTATCCATTTTTATCACTTAAAAGAACAGTGCCACAGGTACAAACAAGCCTTCCTTTTGTTGACTACTATCTTCATTCTTCATTCTCACAAAGAAAAAAAGAATCCAGAGACGAGGGCAGTGATTTTTCTCTATAAATACATCTTTGGAAATATTCTTTTATGATTTTCCTTTTATAATAAAAAGTTATTTTTTAA